GACTTGTAATCGAGTTGAAGTTTAAAGAGTGAGTTGTATTGAATTAAAATTTAGAGCGATAAAATTGAGTTATAATTAAGTTAAAACTATAAAAATAAAGAAAGGATAACATGTAATTTGATAAATTATAATATAATGTTCTTAAGTTGTCCTCCGGTTAGATAGTACATTACACTAAAACCACAAGAAAACAGAGGAAATGTTGACATGTTATTTGATAATACACACTCTTGATTTCCTATTTTGAAAAAGAAAAACAATAAGAAAATGATTGTTGAATTTGAAAATCCTCAAATAGTCACCTGAATAAGAAAAATTTCATTTTAGTCACACATGATGACTAGAGGGAGCTTATATAATTTGATAGCAGAACCATATTGCCCTTATGAATTTTTACAAAAAAAAAACTTAAAATTTATGACAGATTAAATACTTTTAATTATTTTTAATTAAAAGTGATTTATTTATACTTGAGACTAGAGAGGGAGAGTATCTTTTTACTTCCTTCATCTGAGATGTGTAAAATTGGTTGAACTTTTGGGGAGAATAGTTGACCGCCTGACCTGAGATGGAGGCAAAATAGGAAGAGGGGGGGCATAGTTAATTAGGGTTTTGAGAAGGGAAACGTGAAGATGCCGTCGGGTCCTTATACTACACTGCAAGAGACAGCACTAATTGCCCGTGTTTTACATAACAATAGTACCGTACGTACTACGTCCTTCCTTTGGTTAAATGCTTTGCGGGTAAAACCTTTTAACACTTCAAAGCATGTGCATCTCCAAATCATTAGGAATCCCCCACCTCACTTAATTCTGGAATCTAGCTTCTTTTTTATTTTTTTTAATAAAATTAATTACTAACATTGGCTTAGGTACGAGTTATAGCTAGGTACTAGGTAGTTTTTGATACTATACCTTCGTCTTATTTACAAAACACTTCTAATTAAATTTATTACTTAAATATTTTAACAACCGTGACATGAACTCTCTAAAATACCCTTATATATTACTACTTCCAGTCATAATTATAAAACTTTTTTTGTTGTAGTCTACAGACAAAATCTTATAATCAGACTAGAAGTAGTATTAAATTATATGTTGGTTTACAAATTAGATAGATTAATTTAAGAAAAAAATAAATATGCATATTTATTATAAAATTTAACTCCTTAAATATCTCATATATTTAAAACTGGAAAAACGTACACTTTCTTAGAAAGTAACAGTCAATAGTCCTTTCGGGGACATCCGATAAAATTAGAACAATACAGAGAAGATTAGCATGATCCCTGCACAAGGATGACACGCACAAATCAAGAAAGTAACAATCAATAAAAAAATAAATTAGAAAATAGAAATAAAATTATATATTCATCAAGATGACTTGTATTAAAGACAATACAAAATATTGCTTTTCTGTCCTATATAAATATATAAATAGAACTAGAGACTCTTCATTTAATTTTAAAACACAGTTAACAAAATTTAAAGTTTTTTATAACATGTATAAAGTACATTGAAAGTGTTTTATGAATAGAATAAAATTTTCTAGGACCAGTTTTATCCCTATTGATTGTGAGGAGTATTTCTTATTAGGAGTAGTTTCAATACACATGATCAAAGATGATGATAGTGTAGGGAAATCAACACATATTTGTGATAAATAATTAGTTTAACAAATTTTCTTAATATTTTTAAATTAGTTACCTGCCTCTTATATAAGTTATATTAAGGACCGCAGGCAGTATTAATTATTTTTAGAATTATGCAAAATACTTGATGTGAGTATTGAAACCCTATTTTTTTTGACCAAGTAGTATTGAAACGCTATTAAATTTTACAAAATATGCCTTATGTATTTAAAACGGAAGAGGAGGACAACAATTAATTTGTCACTGTCGAGTCCAGCACGATCCTACAGTGACGCGCCCACCCCTGATTCAACTCCACTATAATTATCCATCAAACTTTTATTCATATATAACATTTGAATTTTTCACTTTTGAAAATTTCAAATTCGAACTCGCCAATCGTCGTCAAATCAAGCCTAAAAATTATCAACTTCAAATTATAACAGTCACATTCATCTTTATCAACAACGATATATTTGAGCGATCTTAATCCACACAAACTAAATTATCAACTTTTAATTTCAAAGTTAAATAATTATAATTATATATATATAGATATGCTATGATCATTATTAGTTAGGCATGTTGGTTGGTGACGTGTAATTTTAGTGTGTCATTTTGCTTGGCCATGTGGTGTTATTTCCAATTTATTTTGTTCGCTTTTAAGTCACACTTTGTCCCTTTGGTCACATGGGCTTCCATGTGCCATGCCTCATATATAACACCTAGTGGCGTCGTTTAAATCATTGCACGATATTTACTACCAAAAAAATAAGTTATATATATATATAGGACTATATATATACACAGAGAAACAAAATAAGGATTAATTAGTTGGTTAATTAAACTCAATCCTATAATGTACATATTCTTTTTGTGATCTTACTTGTTATTCGTACTTTTCATTAAGATGGATATTGAATTAGTTTATAATGCAGGCCCTTATTGGCTCCCCTTGATTAATTAGGATGCATATTCATCATTTTTAATATAACATGATTTTGTAATATATATTGAATTAATTCTTCACAAAGGAAAAATTAAACATTGTTCATAAGATACTTATAATATACGGCTTACCTATGAAACTCACTACAACAACGAGAATAACAAAGAATAATATTGATTTTCGTTTTAGAAATATGAAAATGAAAGATGGATATTAGGGTTAAAACTAAGATATAGGGAGAACTATTACAAGATATCAAGGAGTGAATGTAAAAACCAAAAAGTTCCAGATGCCCAGAAGTTTCAATACAAGAAATGACAACAGGCTCACATTGTCCACTTGCTTTGAATTTTCAACGTCTACAAGAACTTTTAGGGTATCCTAGTTGTTACATCCTCTCATTGCATTATATATGTTATAGTAAGTAGATTTTTCTTTAATTTTTTCACCTTTTTAAAAAATTGTAAAGTATTGTCCAGGCGATGAGAAAACAAAGAAATAACATACTACTCCCTCCCGTCCTAAACATAAGAGCGAGTAAAAAAAATTTATTTTGATTTTAAATATAAGATCTTAATTTATTTTGTTTCTCCAAATATTTAATTCTTTGTTCTCAAAATCTCTTTTTTATTTTACAGATTTAAGGGAGTTTTTCATCAAAAGCATAGTTTCTAGTGCAAATGTAGAATGAATGATTTAGCAAAACTAATACATTTTTTTTTACAAACTAATTAATTTAATTAATTTTTCTAATAACCATTACATTTAGGATTGGAGGGGTATAATTAGGACCTATTTGAAATAACATATGAGTAACTTTTTAATTGTGATTTACATAACACTATATAAGCATGTGAGAGGAGTTTTGTCTCGACTTATAAGGAATGTTTTATAAGAGTTTTTAAATGCTATCCCAAATAGACCCTTATACACGTTGTACATGTCTGAAATTTTTTTTTTTTTTTAACTTCCATTGATTATATATCTATCTCTTTTTCCTACTCATTCTGTCCCTCACTCAATTTTTTTTTTAATGAATAAGGATACACTAGTATTTTAAAAAAAAAAAGACAATTCGGTTATTGTATATTTCCAGTTAAGACACCAAAATATACACACCCACAAAAACCTTACCGCATACATCCTTTTCAATCTCACTCCTTTTCCTCACAGGCAAAAAAAGTAGATAGTGGAATAATGATGCAAAATGAAGAGTAAAACTGACATAGCAGTAATTAAAAAAAAATCCAAAACTAAAATTAAAGTAAGGCTCATATATATATGTGTCTGTGTGTGCCCAGCCCCATATATAGAAATAGAACATATCAATAGAAGGCTTTGTAGTTTGTATGATGGATTGAATGATACATATAAACAGGGACGCACGTGGAGTCAGATTGAAGCCACTCTTCTTCCTTGCTTGCTTCCACCAACCCCCCTATTCCAAATTTTATTTACATTCTTTTACCTTTTCTTAATTAGTAATTCCTTCCCTCCCCAAAAAGAAATATCCTTCTTCTTTATCTTTTTAATTTCATACCATATATATATATATATTATCTGGATTCACTTATCATCCCCCCTCTCTCATTTTCTTCCCCACATCTATCTTCCTCTTTAAATTGAAAAATTAATGTTCTATAAAATTATTATTATGATATTAAATAAATAAATATAAATTGTTAAAATTTGATCGGAACAGTTTAGAACTGTAAATTAACTAAAAGTATGGAAAAAATTAATTTTATAAAATACTAAATCCCAGCTGCTTATTTTTTGTCCACATATACATATATAAAGGACGAGGGGAGATCCAAATCCATCCATCATCCCATTCCTAAACTATTTCCCCCTCCCAAAATTAATTACTTTTATTAGATTTTTTTAAATATTTTTTATAATTTCTCATTAAAAAATAGTATTGTGTTGTTCTATGACTTTCTTAGCAAAACGGCATGCAACGTAATGGTTTTTATAACCATGAATTAATGGAAAAGAACATTTTTTAGCGGGTCAAAATTAATACCAGTATCAATCATCATTAATACATCAATAAAGATTGCAAGAAACCTATAATAAAAATCAGTCAATACTACGCTTCACCCTAGTTTCTATGAATAAGAGAAATAACATTATTTTACTTTTAATACAAGTAGTAGTCGAATTCAATTAGCATAAATTATTCATGTATATATTTATTTATATCCTTTTTTTTTCATGTTCTGAATTGTTACGCATATTGGTCGATGATTATTATTAATTTGCCTAATTTGTTAAATTTCGTGCACTAAGGATTAAAGTAATTCCGATCCCCCAAATCAAAACATGTCATTTAATAATGAGCCCTTTTTTTTTATTTTGCTTGCTTTTCCAAATTATAGGATGACCCCCTTATTATTCCCACTCATTATTGTTGTTGCTTAAAGCTTGTCATCCTCATCCCTCACTCTCTCTCTAGACTTGTAGAGAGAGAACACAACTCAGCAGCCAGCCAGCCAGCCATCCTGTTCGTTCCCATCACAGAGGAATTTCCATCCCATGCTCCACAAAGACGATACACCCAGAAAACACAGACCCACTTAGCCCACTGTCCCATATCATCGCCCACCCAGATTTGCACCAGCAGATTTCAGCCACTTTTTTTTTTTTTCCCTCCTTTAGATATAAATTAATTTTAAAAAAATCCTTCTTTCTTCAGCTTTTCTATATCTTCAGATCATATGATCATGGAGGAGGCAGATCATTCTAATGGGATCCGCAGGCCCAATTTCCCGCTGCAACTGTTGGAGAAGAAAAATGGTGAACAGCGACGGGATGACGATGATGATGCAGGCGCTGCAGCAACAGCTGGCTTCGTCGACCCGACCCGACCCAATAGTAACCTGCAGCTCGCCGACCAATCCAAGAAGCCGCCTCCGAAGCGTGCCTCCACTAAGGACAGGCACACGAAGGTGGAAGGTCGGGGCCGTCGGATCCGCATGCCAGCGGCTTGTGCTGCCAGAGTTTTTCAGCTGACCAGGGAGCTCGGCCATAAGTCCGACGGCGAGACCATCGAGTGGCTGCTCCAGCAGGCCGAACCCGCCGTGATCGCTGCCACCGGGACTGGGACCATTCCCGCCAATTTCACTTCGCTTAACATCTCGCTCCGCAGCTCCGGGTCGACCGTGTCGGCGCCGTCACAATACTTCAGGGGTAATAGTTATAGTAATTACTTCAGTCCCAGCTTGTTTTCTTCTTCGTCGTTGCAGTTGAGAAACACGGTCGTGGATGATTCAAGAAGGATCTTGTTTCCCGGTGGCGCCGTTGGGTTTTCTTCTTCCTCCAATTCCTCCGAGAATTCTTCGATGAATAATTTCAGTTCTGCGAGCAATGTGAATGCCATGTTACAACTATCAAAGCAAGAGCTCAGGGAAGAAACCGGCGGCCGCGGAGGCGGCCTTGAATCAACGACAACAGAAACCGAAGGAAGTTTAGGGAAAAATAGACGGTCATCACCAGAACAGGAACCACCACAGAGTCAGATGGGGAGTTATTTGTTACAATCCAGCACAGGCTCAATTCCGTCAAGTCATTCATCAGTTCCCGCGACGTTTTGGATGGTGAGTAGCCCCGCCGGAAACAACCAATCCATAGGCAGCAGTGGCGGCGGCAACGGCGGAAGCAGTAGTGGCGACCCCGTATGGGCAATTCCTTCTGTTGGTAATTATAGTAACATGTATAGAGGAGCCATGTCTGCAGGCAGTGGGATTCATTTTATGAATTTTGGTTCTCCAATGGCTCTGATGGGTGGACAGCAATTAGGTGGTACTGTGATGAATGAAAGCAACCTAGGCATGCTCGCAGCCCTAAATGCATACAGGCAGATTCCGGCGAGCGGCGTTTCAGAGTCTCCGGCCATTACTGGACACGGTGGAGGAGGTGAGCATTCCTGAGGAATATATAATAATATATGAGGATCAAATAGTATTCTAGCTTCTCTGATCTTCTACTACTTATCACAACTAGTCTCCTACTACTATATATATCGGTTTCCGAGCCTATATATATATAATTAAATTTCTATTGTGTCCATTTCCAAGTACAGGCGCAAGTTTGCTTGCTTTAATATATTCGATTTTGGTGTTACAGTGGATATGGTATTAGGGTTTGAGAGAAGAAAAGCTTCATCTATTTTAACAACTGCTAGTATTTGCTTTCCTCAAGCTTTGTTTTCTCTTCACAAAGTCATTTAATTTATGGCTTTCGCTTTCTGTGTCAATGCACTATAAACTCTTCTCGTTTTGTTAAGCATATATGTATGTCCCTCTATGATACTGGCTCCTTTTGTATATACATACATACATGTGTGTGTGTGTATATTCATTACACATCCTCTATCAAATGGTCTCGGATTATAGTATCTTTACTTGAACATTACGGCGAGGGATTAGGTTAATCCTCTCGATAAAAACCAGAAGGATACATACTCTCACAGAACTTGTAGTAAATTCATGACAAAATAGCATACCAGTTTCTTTCTTTCCGACCAAATTTATATTGGGTTTCATGCATGATCGAAGTCATATAAAACGACAAACGCATAGTATAAATTTAAGCTCGATTATTGTTCATTGCAATTATGTATGGGTCAGAGAGAATATGAGCGCTCTCTGTGACGTGGTCTGATCAACCAGTGGAGCTCTGGAAAAACTGCAGCAAAAATAATGCGCTTATATATATATATATGTATATGGGTGTGTGTATATATTATAATGGTCATCCAGTGGGTGAATTATTATATATGGACTGTACTTGGTAGCTGGGGACCAAGAGATAGAGATGAAGAAGAAGAGGGGTTTGAACTGGAGGGTGATGAAGTTATCAGGTGGGTGGTGAGCCCCATATGGGTTTTGGCCATAACCCCTAAAGTTCCATATACACAAACTCTGCCTTCACAACACTACCCTTCAACATCTCTCTCTCTCACACACACACAGAAATACATGTAGAGAGAGAGAGAGAGGAAGAAACTGTATGTACTGTACGTTGCTGGTATAGTAACTAGTTCTTTCTTGACCTGAGTATAGAGTAAATAGTTCATCATCATCATCTTCTTAATTTTAATTTTGGGCTACTCAATTATGTAAAGTTTTGTGACGTTCATGCATAAAAGTGCATGGCTTGGGTACTTGACGCACAGGGACGGCAAGGGCAATTAGGTGGTGCTATACTTAAAAGCCACCTTATAATATATATTGAAAATTAGACCTAATTATAAGATCTCGTTAACAAAATTTTATAATAAGATCTTATAATTAGTACAGGACAGGAGTTGGTATATGTAAGTCTTTCAGTGTCGTCGGTTATGCGTGAAATAGAAGATAATACTCAAGCAATTTGACGGTGCAAGTCTTTTCAAAATAATATATACATTCAAAGACGCGTTTTTCAAAAGTTCATTTCTTTTTTACCGGCGGAGACTTTTTTCAAATTATTGTCTTACAGTTTTATTATTGTAATATTTTTCTATGCGCACTAGTACTTTAATATCTTCTTCACATCATTCCAATTTAGTTAGGATCATGAGTGTTTAGTAGTGCTGGACAACTTTAATAATTTGTAAGTGCAGAATAAAATAGGACTAATATATATATATATATATAAATATATATATCTATAAGGGTTGAAATGAAATATAATTATATTTTGGATTAGTACTCCTTCTGGTACGAAACATGCATGATGATGATGGACATTCCCACTCTTACATATTCTTTTACACATAGTAGTATTATAGGAATTAGTTTCAATATTCATTATCTTGGTTAGCACTCTGAACTCATTAGATCTGGACTGTCTATATCTTATTTGAACAGTTCAGATTTAAAATTTTTAATTAATTATTTTTAAATAGAGAAAAAATTATTTCCTTGAAAAATTGATAGTTGAGAGATTATCTTTATTTTAGATTCTACACGTATTAAAATAATCATTTTGAATTAATAAAAATAAAAAAAATCAAATTCGGACCATCCAAATGAAATATGGATGTTCTAGATTTGATAAGCTTAGGGCATTCATTAAAATGATTAGCAATGAAACTAGTTTCAGTATTTATATATTCTTTGTATGTTACCTATCACAACTCAGTTAATTAACACAATTTTCAACCTAATTAATAACAAAGTTTATACAAACCTCATGTGAATGCAGAAGACTGACACTATATATATCCAATATGGCTCTACATGCCAGATGATCTCCTAACTCAAAATGCAATACACTATGGTGACAGCGATAAGACTTGTATTAATCAAAACGCGTGGAACCCACCAATTCCATATATATATATATATATATATATATGTATGTATGTATGTATCCAACTAATAATCAATCTTCAGGAAACTGAGTTCAAATCGTCAAACTTAAAATTATTATTCTAAATATAAAATTCATTTTGAAATGGTAGCTTGTTAAGTTGCATATGTATATATGAAAAGTATTGAAGGGTAGATTTAATTTGGAGGGAAAGCGTTAATTTGGGTGCAGTGTAGGGGACTGGATGCTTGTGTATATAGGCCAAATCGTACAGCAGTTGGTCTTTATTCTGCACAAGATACCCATCCTTTTATATGTCAATCTTGTTACACACTCTCATATACAAACAGAAACTCATTAAGGATCAACAGTTAGGTTTATCAGAACGTGGGTCCTAACCCCATTAATTCATTTCTCTCTTCATAATGCGTCTCTCTTTCTCTGTGTATATATATATATATATATGATTTACTGCAGTAAAGTTTCCACGTTATTGTTACCGGTGTGTCTTTAGGTTTTACTTTGTAGGTACGTAACCGCAATCATATCTATCTTGTGTCCTTCAGTAATTTGTTAAATCTCAGATGGAATTTTCCCATTTTAGATCATTCATAATTAATCTGCGACCTATAAGTATATGATTCAGCCTTCCATATCAAGGTGTAATAATCAATGAGCAGAACTATTTCTGAGCTGAGACCAACAAAGGTGATGATATGATGTGTGGTGAAGAGCCAAATTAAGGTACAGCTGGAGCCTGGAGCTAGATATTTATATTATCAGTTGGAAAACTCAGTGGAAGGGACCATTGCTCATTAATGAATTAGGGTTTTGTATTTGGAATTATATACATGTACTTTGATTCTTCAATTCACTGCGTCAGTTTTCAAGCTTGATTTGGATAATTAAGCACGTAGCTGGCTAGTGATCCAAACAAAGAATATAAAATATGTACAAGCCGTTTATACTGGGGATCCACGTTACTCTCTCTCTCTATCTCTCTCTCTCTCTCTAAATATAGATATTATTATTCATTTCCTCTAATGTACCAAAGAAATTAAATTCTGGACAGGCAAATTGTGCGAAGAAAAAAAGGAGACTCTGGGCATGTTTAGCTACAGCTTTTGGGAAACAAATGACCGTCTTTTTGAGGAGCTTTCAAATTTCGAATGCGTAATTTTTGCCCTTTTCTTTTACTTCAGGAGTCCATATAGTTGATTAATTTGCCAAAAGCTAACAACCTAGCTATTTGGATAGAGATCATTTGACATGTTTTATTAAATTCCTATGTTTTGATGATTACCAAACCTGTAGAAGATTTTTTTTTTTTTGCCGAGATAAAAAGTGTGTGATTGAACACGAAAGCGACAAAAGAATCAAGTCGATCTCCAAAGAATGAAGAACTACAAAGATATATTTTGTATAGTTTAGGACTTCCATTGTACGTAAGTAGTTAAAAGAATTTTGACGGAGCTAAATCTAAAAAGATTTTAATAAAAATGACATTTTAAAGTGAAGTTTTCATGACATAATCGTATCTGGTTTTCAAATCCAATATGTTGAAAATTGTGTTTGGTAAACAATCGTATTTCTTTTCTTAATATTCTCGAGTGTTTGTTGACGAGTGGTTATGTTTATCAACAAACACTCCTTTTTCCATAAAATGGTTGACAATCCATTTTCTTGATCAATAATTTTGGGCTGGTGAAAAAAAATGATCAGCAATATTCGCCTTGCTCTGTTATCCGGTACGTCTACAAAAAATTGGATGCCAATAATTGCAGCTATTTATCAACAAGTTGGGCCATTACGTTGACAAATCCTTGCTTTTGTTAACACTTGCTCCGCTAGTGTTAGGAGTGAGTACTCGGTTTTTCAATTCTGTTATTGGTGATAACCAAATAACTAATTAGAGAAATTTTAAATACCAAACCGAAACCAATAACCGAACTAACCGAAACCAAATTAACCGAAATATTTCGGTTCGGTTAACCGATTAACCGAAATATATAAATATGAAAGTGATTTTAAATTAATAATAATAATAAAACACAATTAAAGCCATTAATTATTAAATATTTCATCATTTAATGTGATTTATTATAATAATATTTTTCACATAAACCCACATATATATTTATTATAATAATATTTATTAGATATAAATATATAATATATTTATTTCAGTTTTTTTGGTTATAACCGAAATTTTTTTATACTAACCGAACCAAAAATGAAAACCAAATTATTACAAAAATAAAAACGGAATATGTAACCGAAAACTGAAATAACCGAACCGAAAAATCAAAATTAAATTCGGTTCAGTTCGGTTTTCGGTTACAGTTTGGTTTTACTCACCCTTAGCTAGTCCTATTTATAGATAGAGTGAAAAGAAATTTTTTGTTTCATTTATAGGGTAGAAAGAAAAATTATTTATATGAATGTATAATTTTACTCTTTATTTATTATTGTGTTGACTTTATTTTCATTGGATATAATGTATATTAAATAAAAATAAAGATGAAAAGTTATTAAATTTTAAGGGAAACTTATAAATAGGATCAGAGGAGTAAGCTATTGCTTATATAAATTTGATAGGTCCAATTATAGTTAATAGTTTTGAAGGAAATTTATACAGCTTAATTTGTGATAATTTATGACTATTTTAAATTCAGATGAACTATATTTATTTCTTTAAAAAAATGTGAGATTTGATTTATTTATTGTTTTTGTCAAAAAGTAATAAGTATCCATTCACTTTATAAAATATATCGGTGTATTATTAATGAATAATGAGTATTATTGTGGTATTTAATTATCTAATAGGGGTAATTTAGGAAAGAATGAAAAAATATGAGAAAGGGGTCCTATATTTAGGACCAAGATCAACCTTCTAATTGGGTCCTATATTAAGGACCGGAGGAGTATATCTTTTGTGCCCATCAAGCCTGACAATGGATGAGAGTTGGAAAACAATGCATTCCTTAAATTCTGTGAAGAGCTAGAAATCAACCACATCTTTTACCCCCTTAACACAACAACAGGACGGAGTGGCGCAAATGACCGGAAAATAGATCAAGCTAAGAGTTGAGATGGCACTTGCAATCTCTACCGGAAAAAAAGAGTTAAGAAGCGCTCAGCATTCCGAAATATTTTTTTTAGGTGCATACAATATTCTAAAAAAAATAATTGAGTCATTAGGTGCACCTAATAAAATATTTCGGAGTATT